TTAACACACTAGTGACTAGGTAATAGAACAACACAGGGGGCTAACAACACTAGGAGGAATCAATGAACACAAGTAAAACAGAACGTACTGAAAAAGGCACAGGCATAGTATCCATTAACAAGACAAAACAACCATACAGACAACAGAGGATAAAATAAAACTAGAATATAACAGAGGCAGCCTCAGCCTCATGACCAGAGGACTGTCAGCCTCTGATCCACACACTTAATGAGGGTGTCCCATAGAGCTACGCAGTGGTCCAGGGTGCAGTGAAGCACACTATGGGAAGACCAGAAGGGATGGCCAGTGGGAACTGCTGGCCAAACGGGCAAAAGGCACATGGGACAGGGTCAGACAGACACTGAGCAGGATACTAAGGCTTTCCTTGCTGTTTTCCCAGCCGAGAGGACAGAGGAGGGGGACGCATACCCCACTCAATTATCAAAGCCCCCCAGGACAGCCATCTGCCCCCTCGGTGGGCTTGGCCGCAATCGCGGTAAGTGCATATCCACCCCGTCAGACCAGGCCGAAGAGCCTAAAGATAACAAGCCGCTGATGGGCTCATTAGCTCTGCCTCTGCACACCAGAGCCCCACAGCAGGCAAAAGCGGAGAGAGTGTGTGTGTGTGTGTGTGTGTGGGGGGGGGGGGGCGGAGAGACACCCCGGGCTATGCAGAGGCTGAAGTTTTCACAGTTTCCCTGGCTTTATTCTAAAGACGTCTTCTAGCAACATTTTTCAAAAGTACAACAGCTGGAGACTTTCATTTAGAGGACAAACAACGTTAACAAAGGTCCAATGAAACAGGTTCAGTAAGACTAAAACGGACCTTTGATAAGAAGCAGAACTTCTGTTTTGAGGCCATGTACAAATCCACTTTATTTCTGGTGCAAAATATAAGCATTACTTTGGGTATTAGCATTAATCAAAACAGAGAAGAGATGCCAAGAAGGAGAGACCCACTTTGGGACAGTTTAGTAATAGTTTTAGCACTAGGGGGAGAATCCCTTCATGCCAGCCAGCACTTCAAGCTGTAGCTCTGTACACAGTCAAATAAAATTCACTGCTGGTGCTTGTTTCCTGGTTACAAGGGGGCGTTCTGCCCGCAAATGTGCACACTTGCTGCTCATACACATACACAGTGCATTAAGGACTCAACCGCAACAACAGAGCCTTTGTTGGTTTTTAACCTCAGTTTCCCATAATCCTCCCGGTGTCACCTTTCGTCTCTCAAGGTCTCCTGGTGCTAACACCAGTTATCGATTTTTTGCAGATATTTGTATCTGAGGGGAAAGTACATAGACTTTGGGAGGGTAATTCGACAGAGGCTTTATTCTACTGTAATTAATACACTGAAATGTTCAATTATTAAGTCAACTGCCAATGGATAAACACAGTACATGTAAGTAAGTTGACAACAGATGGTGGAGAAACACACTGTAGTGCATGTAATCCTATCAGCTGTTTTACACAAGTGGGACATGCTGAAAGTCTGCTTTCTACTGACAGGCAAGACATGGCCACAATGCATTATGGGAAAATGTCACTAATCAGCACGCTTAGTCAGAAAGTAATGGTGAATTATGACAGGAAGGTACTCTAGGGTTGACGCAATATGCCGGGCAGGAAGCTGGGTGTCCAGTGTCTCTGCCACAAAATGATACGACACGTTTGTGTGCTTGTTTGCTTATCCTGATTTTCTGCTGGGTAAGAATAGCAACAGCTCTGATGGAGATCGTCAGACTGACTGAAATGGCTCACACTGGGATCAGTGCAGTCAGAGGGGCCAGCTAAAGGCTAACCTGTGGCCAAGGTGCTACAGAGTGCCCTGAGATACGAACACGGTGTCGGCACAAATGTCAAAGGGGGAAGCAGTCAGCCCCACCTACTCAGGGGACGCCCGAAAACAATGGAAAAATGTGGGGCTCCTGTGAGCAGATGCCGTCTAACTCCCAGAAAGCCCCACTCAGCCTAGTGCAGCTCATGAGGGCTTCTCATCACCAGGGCTGTAAGACGACCTCTAGGTGCGGCTGGGAAATGATCCTCTAATGCTGTTGTTCTGCTGTTAAAGCATCTGCTGATTCTCAATCAGTGCTCCCCGTTGTGAAAACAAGCTACCCCAATCACATCTATCCCATTAAGCTGATAATATTAATATTAATATTAATTTCCATATACGTGTGTGTAAAACGCCGTCAGCTGAGAGCGGGAGGCAAAGATTGCAGCCTGTCAGGTGAGGCAGGCTTTTTGGAGGTAAATGCAGTTCCCATAAACAGCGGTACACATACCCAGCACACATCTCCTAGAGTGCATGATACACTCACACACCTCTGCATTTCAAACTTACAGGATATTAAAACCAGGATGAGAGAGCATTTTGGGGCGATAAGAAGAATTGCAGCATGTCTTTCTGTAAAATTGGTGGCAGGGACATTTAACACTGTACTGCTCTCACAGGCTGAAACTGCCACTGAAAACAAGTAGAAACTCAGAGTTCAGTCCGAAACACAAAAATGTTTAATTACAGCGATGTCTCCTACAGGCATGGCCTGATTTACCAGCCCAGTGACACACTACTATGTACGTTCAGCTAAAGCAGTTCTCTTCATGACACCTTACTAGGAACATCTCAAAAGAATCCTGATATCATGCAGAAAGCTTGAAGTTTAATTAAGGATCCTTTAGCAGACAATCATAATGGGTCAAAGTGTTCAGTATAAGCAATGGTTTTTGGTATAAGACGGTGTGTGTGAGAGACGCACATAATCCCACTGTTTTTCCCCACTCATTAAAGCTTTAGTCTTTTACCAAAAACTGGTTTACGCATTATGTATTTAGAGTTTTTTTACAGTCAATAACCACCCGGTTATTTCTTAAAGTCTTTAGAAAACGCAATTTAATCGAAATAGAAACGGAAATGAACTCTTTCTGTGTGGAAATAAACCTCAATAAAGCATTATACTTTCATTCAAATGTGCAAATATGACATAAGGTGTGACTCACTCATTAGAAACCGATACACTATCTTGCATTGAAGCCATTTAATGAGAATGGCTGATAGTTTTAACAAAGTCAGACACAGTAAGACCCATTCGTTTCTCTCCCCGCAAGACGCATCACGTAACTCAAGCTTCTTACTGATTAAATGACCGTATAGGAGAGAGACTTACCTTCAAGCCATAAGCTTTTCTCAAACTATAACGTGGAGCAAGTTTCCTTCTCCTTTTAAATCCAAGGCTACACGTAACAGTGCGCCTTCAGTTACTTGTACATGAGTTTCCCATATTTCGTTTGACGCATCAGTTCTGCAGGTAATAAGGACTGGGGTCTGGGATCAGATGCTTATTAGTAAGAGTCAGGTGTACAATAAAAACAAGGTCTGTTGCAATTTGTTTTGTGTTCCCAGCAGATCGCAGTAATATCCTTTCTCTTAACTTCGCGGCAAGTCTACAGTGAGGCGTAGCAAAATAAAAAAGGAAAAATAAAGAAAAAAGATATTAGTCCGTCTTAATTAAATGAAAGCTCAGCAGGCGGCCGGAGATGGTGTGGATCGGGTGCGGGGTGCAGATGCTCCTTCTCGGTGCAGTGAAACATATGTTGTGCGCATTTACGCATCGGGTAACCTTCATCTCGGACGCGCACTTACTGTGGAGCCAAAGCACCATGAATTTCACAGTTTGAGGACGAAGGCGGAGCGAGTGCCACAGTCCTAAACATTACACTTACACGAAGATATTGTATTACTGAAACACGTGTGTACATGATTTGAAACCTTACACACTGAGGAAGTAAAATCCTATTTTGGTAGCCTGAAGATGGCGGTAGCGTGCTCAATTCACATTTTACGTTTTGCGTATTTATCCTCAGTGCGTTTGTCTATATAATGAAAGATTGTCAGCTTTAATCTATATGCGAGTCAAAAAACAAGTTACTGAAAATGCAATAACTTTGTATCTTCAGAATAGTTTAATAGTAAGCCTATATCCAAAGTTATTCAACAAAAAGATGCCTTTTTCAATCAGTGTAGTGATTTTACAGAAAATTACATCCTTCCCTAATATATGGTTGCACAACCATTGGCAACAACGACATCCTGTCTGTGAACGTCCTGCACCTGCTTGCTGGTAGTTTCTTTCAGTCGTCTATTGCATCTTGTTCCAGCTCTTGAATATCTGCATGAAATCAGGACTGTTTCAAACAGTCCATCCCTATGTGCTTTTGGACAGTTGTCCTGCTGCTGGACCCATGATCTTCAACCCAATCCTGGTTTCCTGACACTGTGTAGCACATTTCACTCTCAAATGCTGCAGTAATCCTCTGACATCATCATTCCTTTAATATGCTCAAGGATTCCAGTACCGGAGGCAGCAGAGCAGCCCCACAGCATTACGGAAACTCCAACACATTTACCAGTAGGCAGGATGCACTTTTCTTTATAGGCTCCATCCCATCACATATAAATAAATTGCTTGTCTGCATGGCCAAAGAGCTCTACTGGTTACATTTGACCATAGAACATTTTCCCAGAAGGCTTATGGTTTCTTTAAGTAGGTTTCAGCAAATATCAGTAGTAGCAGTAGGCGGTAGTAGTGTCCTCTTTGACTCTTACCCATAAAGCCCTTCTGTGGTTTGTGATTTTTCTACAGTTCACCCCAGTCTTTGAAGACTTCTCTCATCAATCTTCCCTCTTACCACCACATCTCAGGGGGTTCTTGACAGTTCCACAAACAGCAAACTTTTTAATACCATTGGGAAGTGTTTTAACAGGGATGCCACTGTCTTTGGAGACGACCTTGTACCCTTTAGAACTATCATGCTTGTTTATAATGGATTTATGGTGCTTTCAGATACCACTATTGTCTTTACCATGGTGAAAAAGGACCAGAGACTAAATGTGGCCCTATTAAGCACTAAAGGCTATGAAAGGTGATTAGTGATGAGGGGCAGGTGTGTTGAGGCAATGACAGGAGCAGGGCCTCGTAAGTAAGTCGCTGAAGCGGGCAGTCAGTGGAGCTTCAGCGATGGCTGCATGCTCTGCTCTGTGCTCCTGCTTCATACAGGTAAGCTAATATAAAATGCTTTTAATAGTGGTGGGACATCTAACCTTATTATGTACAATTTATCTTTTTACACAGAGTGATTGTGGATGTGGTTCCTACCCTCTGCGGGGAGAAACAAAGCAAACATTTGTCATCGATTAGCTGCGACCATTGGTGTGCTGCTGTGTTGCTGTATAGACGCATTGAGTCACTCTTTGGGCAGTTACATTGCAATCTGGGAATTGTGAACTCTTGTAATAAATGGTTGATTGTGATATTGTCTGGACAGGCAATTAATGTTTTTGTCCTTTAAAGAAAACAGGCCATCCACAGATTCTTGTGGCGTTTTTGATTACATCTCATTTTTTGTTTGGTACGGCCATGTTGTTTGGGCGCTGAGCTCACCTCTTTGCTCTTTCCTGTTGGAATTGGTGGTTTATATTTTAAATAGTATTAAAGTGTGTGTGTGTGTGGTCCAGGTATACATTACACTGTGGGGACAAAATGTCCGCTTGCTGTGGGGGGACCGCACTGTGTGGCACTGGCTATAATGGTGTATGTGAGTAATGCTGTCACTGGTGGTAGACTGCAGTGGTAAGTGATCACACAAGCATGTCGTGGCCGAAGGGTGGCATGTGTCTGGTGAGACTCCCTGTCTCTTTGTTTCCAACATGTGGCTGGTTTAGGTGGTGCGCGAGAGCAGACAGTGACTGCTTCAGAGGTAACCTGACCTTTCTATACTCTGAGGACAACTAACCTGCTTTCCAGTTCTAGCATTTTTACTGAGGAAGCTCTGGTGTTTTCTGCTGTTTTTTCTTAAATAACACTTTGTATTGTAATAACTCGTGCTCACTTGTTATAATTCCTGCTTCATCTGATTGTTCCTGCTTAAAGGAAACCAAATTGGCACCTTTGGTTAAGAGAATCCATGGGGTTCCTCCTGCCCCATAGCAGGAAAAACTGGGTTATTTTTCACGGTCTTGTACTACACCATTTATTGGGGTATTCATATCAGCACTGAATTTATCACAGGTAAGTCTAGTTTTACTGAAATGACAATCCAGTTCTTTTAAATGATATGAATTCTTCAAAGTGGTTCCAATAATTGTCAATGTTTGCGTTTTCATACTTTTTACTTCCATTATTTTTATGAATATTGTTTTGTCATTTTGTATTAACTGTTTATTTTGACCTAAGCTGTTTCTATGCACTTTTTCTCTCCAGTATTTGATGCATGTAAAACTCAGCGTTGCCAGTGTTGACCAGAACTGTGTGTTGTTGTATGTGGGAGGAAAGCCAAGCAAATCACGCAAAATTTACACACACAGTCAGAGACAGGATTTGACCTCATAACCATGTAGGTGTGAGGACACAGTGCACAAAGGGCAATTTACAGAAACCAATTCTGTCACAAACCAGGGGTAATGGACTGCATTTGCCTTCCTGTCCCCAGAGATTCACAGCTACTCTCAGTTCTTCAATTACCCTGTTGACGGAATCATTGGATGTGAGTGTGCCCTGCGATGGGTTAGGGCCCCATCCTGAGTTGTTCCCTGCATTGTGCCCGTAGCCTCCAGGATAGGCAATGGACCCCCCATCACCTGAATAGGATAAGCAGGATAATAAGACTTAATCACCTTCTTTTTACTTGCCTGTTTCCTCAGTTCCTGAGAGAGTGATTGTTTGGTTTGGCTGCTGCTTTCGAGCTTATTGTGTCTATGTCTGGTTCTGGTTTTTGAATTTGTGGTCTCGTGATTTGATTTTAGTTATTGACTGCTCTGTTTTGGATTCTTGCCTGTTTTTCTAACTTCACCTTTTCACTTACCCCTTCTGCACCCCCGCCTTGTATTTATGGAATCGACCTTAGCCATCAGCTCCGGTTGCTGTCCGTCACGTTGTTCAATAAACTGGCTGACTGCCATCTTGTGAATGGTTCCCTGTGTTCCGCCATGACAAATTCAGTAAAACAGCAACAAATACAGGAAAAAAATACAGGAAATAAAAATTTTACACACACGGAGTTGGGGGTGGGACTGAACCATCAGCCTTGGAGCTTAAGCTGCAATGCTGCCCACTGAGCTGCTGCACCTACACAGAGCAGAAATTAATTAATGATAAAACTATTTAATGTTGTTATAGAAGCTTGACCGAGGTCATGTTTACTTGAGCAAGTTTAAACAGGTATAAAACAGTCCTTTAATACTGTGTATAGTTGTCAACAGTACAGTGCTGGAACCGAAGCTCTGCCATCACATAGATGCAAAGGAAAGTGCACATCTGACCTCGGCAAAATGACAATCTGCAGCTGACATTTTAATTTAAATCCCGTTCCATACGGCGAGAGACGTGGGCACCTTGAACGGCACGCGTCTCTCAATATTGTTAAATCCATATCTAATCTCCGAGCCGATATACTGTCATCGGCTGACGTCTACAGACACAAACAATCGGCACGAAAGACCTTCCTCACTAATATGCAATGAAAGATGGAAAGGGGAAGAAGTTTGCAAGCATCAAAAAGATTCTCTTTTATAAGTACTTTTGGAGGCTGAATGAGGTTTATACGATGGAAATGGGGGGGGGGGACATTAGGGCATGTTTCCTTTGTAGGCTATCTAAGGGGGGGGGGCTTTCAGGACGATTTTTACCTTATAGCTATATGTGGGACATCACAGTCTGCAGTGGACCAGAGCATAAAAAATGATGATAAAGAACAGATGTAAAGGATCCATGAAAAAGCCTGGATCCGTCTAATCGTATCACAGAATGCAGAGGACTTTTCTATACTCTATTTAAGAATGAAATTCCATTTTCATCCTGGTTTTAGGGCTTTTAAAAGATGTTACAGCAAGTGATTCAGCATTAAGTATAGGATTATTAACGCAAATAAAATGTGGGTGATGCAGAGTGGGATATTCTGTCAGTTAAAGGAAGAGTCTAGTCTGTATGTTTTAAGATATTTTTTTAATCAGTATTAAACATATGCCTGCTTCTATTAGATTATCTGGGAGTATCTGAATCCCTGGCAGTAGTTCAGATACATGCAACCTCCATGGGAATTTAGTCAAGAATGTTATATCTCATTGAGCAAATGCTAGTCACATACTTCTGTGGCAAGGCAAATCTTGGAGATCATTATTTAATCATTTTTGCAATGATCTTTCTCAGGGTGACTGTGGGAGAAAGCTAAGTCAAATCATATGCTTTGTTTATCTGAAAAGATATTACACTGTTATTGTGTGTGTGTGTAAATATATATTATACACACACAGGGGTTGGACAACGAAACTGAATGGTGAACAGTGCTTGAGGATTCACGCCCATATATGGGTGGCCTGGTGGCCAGTCTTCAATGATTGCACATTCCATCAGTAAGCGCAGGATGTGAAGGCTGAACTAGCAGAGCACAGCTGTACATAAAATATTGCAATAATAACAAATAACAAATATGGAATTTTGCACTGATGGTAGATGGAAAGTGGGTGGATCTGGGCAGATGGAAACCAAGCCGGTCCGGTAGACAGAAAGCGGGTGGATCTGGCCAGATGGAAAGTGGGTGGATTCAGGCAGATGGAAAGTGAGCAGAACTGGGCGGACGGAAAAGAGGTGGATCTAGGCAGACAGAAACCGGGTGGCTCCAGGTGGTCAAAAAGCGGGCAGATCTAGGTGGATGGAAAGTGGGCGGCTGCAGGTGAACAGAAAGTGGGTGGATCTGGGTGGATGGAGGTCCAGGTGAACCTCCAGGTCCTGGGTGGTCCAGGTGAACAGAAAGAGGGTGGACACAGAGCTCTGGATGTTTCCTATTTGTCGCGACTTTGCTCAGATGTGCCATGAACAAACGATGCGAGAGCCTGAAACACGTTTGATCCGGTAAAGATATGCGTGTTTTTTCCTAGTCGCCTTCAGCCTCACAAAGAAGTCGCTAGACCCAGTTTCAATCAAATCCGTTATCTCAGAAAAGTGGTAAGAAAATCTGTGCCTTTCTCACATAAATCCTGTAAGGCTGTTTTTATAAAAAGAAGCATTTCTGTGTTTTATAAACGTATCATCACTTGGCCCCTGAGATATCTCCCTTGTGTTTCCAGGAAGCTTCAGTGAGACAAGCAGGCTGGTCAGCCCCCCTCTCCAGCATTGCTTCCCAGGTTAGTGTCCCGGGGTCACATGACTCCCTCTTCCGGAAACAACCATGAACCTCAGCTTACATTTTTAAACAGAATGCATTTAGAGCAATTTCCCACTAATTGCAGTGAAACATTAATGGTGATTAATGGTGGAGCTGAAGCAGCCATATTTGCAGAGTGTGTTAAATTAACCACCTTTCATGACGGTAGTTGTTGGCACATAAAAATCAGGGTCCATGATATCAAAATAAAACAATATTATCCCATAGGCAAGGGAGGGGCAGCCTGAGACGGCCACCATACTCCATTCTGATCAGAAACGGTCCCTATTAACCGGTACCAGGAAGCCGACATCTGTGGAATGAAAAATAAATTAGAATTACTTTGAGGATGGCTGGATTGGTGACGGGGGGGTTCCAATTTTGCCATCGGTCTGCTTCAAATCTGTTACGTCTGAAATCTTATTTGGAAATACTGCATGGGGGAATTTCTGTGCGTAAGAAAGAGTGCAGGCAGAAAGGGGGAAGCAACAAAGCCGTATTTCTGATTATTTTGTTAAACCTGAAGCCATTAAACAATGATCAACATCTGTCTGGCCAGAATTAGCTTTCAAAAAGAACTTTATTTAGCACAAATTGTACATACTGTATATATTTATCATGTGTGTCATAGCTAACAAATCCATCCATTTTTCATAACCACTTATCCTCCAGTACAGGGTCACAGTGATCGTGGAGCAGGATGCTGAGCACAGGGCGGGGACACCCTGTGCAGGACGCCAGCCCATCTCTGGACACACACACGCAGCACAGGCAATTCAGAGATGCCAGTTCAACTAACTGCATGTTTTTGGACTGCAGGAGGTAACCCATAAAAACACATGATGAAATGAAATCACATACAATGTATGTTTTCAGTTATCGCAGCTTAAACATGTGAAGTAAGCAGTGTAATTTTAGTCATAATTTCACCATATAAGTTAACAGAAAAAGCAAAAGAATCTTATTTTGTGCCCATGAAACCTTTTGTCACACAATAGGTTGGGGACAGGGGGCCGAGATGCAGAGCAAACAAGTTGCTAAAACACTAAGCGAGAGTCAAAAAGCTGGGGAGTCTATGCTGAGGAGTGAAGAGAGAGGTGGACACTAATGCAGAAGCGGGGATATCGGTACGAGCACAAATTCCGAGAGGGGATTGGGGATCCAGAAACACACAGTAACCAGACTGGAGATTAGGAGAAATACCCGCACCTACTGTAACAACACAAGAGGGAAATCACGCATTCTGGGAAAAGTAGGGCAGGGAAACACCCACACCTAACCACACAAGGGGGAAATCATGCATTCTGGGAAAAGCAGGGCAGGGAAACACCTGCAACTAATCACATAAAAGGAAAATCATACATTTTTGGAAAAGCAGGGCAGGGAAACACCTGCACCTAACCACACAAGAGGGAAATCTCACATTCAGGGAAAAGTAGGATAGGAAAACACNACATTTTTGGAAAAGCAGGGCAGGGAAACACCTGCACCTAACCACACAAGAGGGAAATCTCACATTCAGGGAAAAGTAGGATAGGAAAACACCCACACCTAACCACACAAGAGGGATGTCTTGCATTCAGGGAAAAACGGGACAGGGAAACACCCGCACCAAACCACACAAGAGGGAAATCTCACATTCAGGGAAAAACGGGACAGGGAAACACCCGCACCAAACCACACAAGAGGGAAATCTCACATTCAGGGAAAAACTGGACAGGGAAACACCCGCACCAAACCACACAAGAAGGAAATCTCGCATTCAGGGAAAAGCGGGACAGGGAAACACCCGCACCTAACCACATAAGGTCAACAATTTCTCGCAATGAGGAAACTGGCTTGACCATTTATATAGTCAGGCACTACAGTTAGAGTTCAAGCGAGAGAGACTGGATGAGATGGTGTGGCTGTCTGCAGTTTATCAGTTTATGGGATGCATTCAGTCTCATTTTGGCAAATGTATAGCTCACTCGATGTGTACCCCTGCATGTCTTCCTCAGACAGCTTCTTGGATCACGTGACTATGACCCCCCCCCCCCCCCCCCCACCACTATAGCATCCGCGAAATTTTAAAGACCTTCAATTCTCAAGAAAGTTGCTTAGGGATTTGTATTACACCTAGATGTTGGGGCAATTAAACGGCAGGGAATGCATTTGTTAGTAAATAAAAAGAAACGCAGCCTGGTTGCTAGGCGACACACACACATCACAGGGAAGCACCAGTGTAACCCGAACCTCTGACGTAGCGCGACCCAGAGCTTGACCTATAGAAATGGACCCGTCCGGAATACAGCGAAGGGGGTGGGCAAACTTTGTCACATCAAACCGAACAACAAAGGCGAAAATGAAAACAGCGCTTCACGACGGAGAGATGAAAGCAGTGAAACGATCCGCTGTTTTGAGCGGTGTGTCCTTTCCTCTGAGCGCACTTCAGCTAGATAGGGGGGGGGGGGCTAGCTGCCGGTAGAGAGCTTCTCGGTCAGGGTGGAGGGAATCAGCACCAATATGCCTGGGGATGGGGGGGCGCATCGCTGAATGATATGCACATGTCATTACTGGAAATGACCACACGGTGCAGACCACATAGGATCGGGTGGGAATGAAAGTAATAAATAAAATGAAAATATGGCTCCCTCCTTCCTGTGTCTTCTCCGCCAGTTCCGCCTAGGGGAGGAGATACTCATTTCTTATTTATGGGGCTACTCCACATTCGGCAGGAAGCCATCACCCAAGGTGGGAAAGGTGAGGAGAGTTTAAGTATCTCCACAGAACAAGTTTCTAGATCTCAGAGACGGAGGAAGGATGCAGGGCCAGAAAACAAAAATGCCATCTTTGGGCTGATTGCAGCTGAACTTGTGGATTAGGGGCTCTCAGTCACAGACTCAATCCTTAACTTAATTACACAGCAGGCTCCCTGAGCTAGAACTGTCTGTGAGAGGATTTAAAAATATTTTTAACGGCTCATGAGGTAAATTAGCTAGGAAGTGCTGTCAATCCATGTGTGAAATAAGGAAGTGGCTTCAACAGTGATGCTCAGTATTGAAGAGACAGAGAAAAACACATAAATGCATTATAAAGGGTGTTTATTATACTGCCTACCAATAAACAAAATGATCTATGGCATGGGGTCTCTCTGATCCACTATTTCAGCAGTAAAAACACACTATGGCATATCGTGTACAGAACTAAGAGGAGAAGATGCTCATATATATATATATATATATATACAGTATATAATATGGAGGTTCAAACCCAGCCTCAGCACGTCTGTGGGTCCTTGAGCAAGGCCCTTAACCCCCAGCTCCCTGGGCACCGCTACGGGTGGCTGCCCTTCACAGACAGCTTACTCTACAAGGAGCAAGTTGAAGGAGGCGTAAAGACAGTTTCCCCACGGGGATCAATAAAGTATCAATTATTATTATTATTAATTCAATACCAAGTTATCCAATCAGAGGAGAGATCTGCACATCTCTTACCTACAGTAGATGTATGAAAGCTGGTCTTACCTTTACAGGAGATGGTAGCACGACGTTCCCAAACCAGAGGACGTCTCAGGGAGAGTGCTATAAGTGGCCCTTAAGGCTTCAAGATCCATAGCCTAGATCAGTGTTTCCAAATCTGGTCCTCAGGAACCCAAAGAAAGTCCACGTCTGGCAGGGAGATGGAAGGGAGCAAAAACGTGGACCATCTGTGGGTCCCCAAGGACCAGATTGGGAAACACTGATGCAGATGACCTTCAGAAATATCCCGTGGAGCAATAGGCACACTTACAGGGGACCTTGAGAGATCCTCAGCACCACATCCAAGAAGCTGGAGGCTGCCTTTGTCTTTGGCTCAGAATTGCAGCCCTGGATGAACATCAGTGGCATCTGAGGGAGGCTGGAGAACATGGCTCACGCTTATGCATGGAGCAGACCACCTGCAGACCTACTACTCATCTGTTTTTGCACAAATAAATATTAATCAGCTAGAAATAATTCTTCATTTATTAAAAAAAATACTACAGAATCTTACCCCAACTATTGAGCAAAATGATAATTAGTTTTGTGCCGTTTCTCTGCTTATGGCTGATGATGCCTCACCGAGGGGAGGTTGGATTTAGGCATATGCAGGCCAACCAAAGAATAGTTTAAGGGTCACAGTTAGCCCAAAGGGGATATTCTGATCAAGGAGTCAGTCCCAATAAATTCAGGCTACCCTCAACAAAAACTGGAGTTTAGGGAACAGTTTCATGAGTTTTTTAATAAGGTCGAATAGAATAGATATAAAATAGCTACTTTTATTGTCATTCAGAACATGCACTGGTTAGTGCACATCAGAACGACATTATGTTGCATTGACTTACCATCAGCCTAGCAAGCTAGAGTGTATGAATACTAAAAATCTTAAACTTAAAAATATTCATTTAAATAGGAGATAAATAGAAAATAGAATATAAAGTGGAATTAACATAGAATATACATAAAAATATATTAACCGCAGTATAGCAGCAAAAACCAGTGTACATCACCGTTTCGGATACAGGTACATTGCTATAGACATTGACGTCTTTGGTGGGCCTGTCTAAATCCAACCTCCCCTCGATGACAAATCATAAAATATTCATTTAATTGCACAAAGCAAATATATACATATGAGTATAATATAATAATGAGATATGAGTATAACAGAATGCTCTCATCAGAAGGCCCATCAATGTTTCAGAACTGCTGTCTGGAGATCTGAGATCCACAGCCTCTGTCATTCCTTTTTGTTAATAAATCTGTCTGCTGTGCCCTTCGGTAACCACTAGGGGGCGAAAAGACGAGTCACAGTGGTTGAGAGGGGCCACGCCTGGCTGGTTTGATGCCACCCAAATGTGAAATGACATGAGGCCCTATGTTTGCATCTCATTCACATGATAAGCGCCGGGGAAACGTGTGACAGTTTTCACTTGCAATTATGGTTCGCATTTCAGTTTTTTTTTTTTTCCCCCAGCATAGTTGATCTAAGGCACTTACAACATTATGGGCAGCTTTGAAAGAGATTAAAAACATCAGAATGTCATGGATATAATAGCAGTTAATGCTGTACAGCCCCCCTATTCAAATCTGGCCCTCCATTCCAAATCCAGGCCTTGTTTTCAAGTCTCCAAGGTAGTTAGCTTAATAATTTCTGGCTCTGATTGGCCAGAGGCTTCACAACTGGCTCTCAGGCAAAGGAAAGCTGGAAAACCAGCAGTGCTCGGCCCTTGAGGACCGTGACTTGAATAGCCCTGCTGTACAGTATCTAGTTGCTTTAGGCAAAAACACCAGGGGACAGTGATGGGAATGAGACAGAAGCTCCGAAGGATTCAGAGAAAAAATTCTGGGGCCCCCCAGGGCACAATAAGGTAGCAGCTCAGAGGTGCAGTTAGTTCAAGCATTTTAAAATACAACTGTGGTCTTCATGTTCATATCGGCATTGAGAAGAATTCTCAAAACCAGGTTTGTGGTTCTACAGGTTAGGACCAGGGAATAGCTGTGAATGTATATCAGACTGCTTAATAATGCTTTAATATGGCAATATAGCACCTCACTTAGTTTACAAAGATCATGTGAAAGAAGGACCCATAACCCTCTGCTGCATTGGAAGGTGGATGAACATAGATGAGACAGTTTATATGGCTGAGGGCAGAAGGCGGAGCCCACGGGGAGTGTGTGGGTGTGGCTTCCAGGTGTAGCTCTCAGATGCGGCACATGGTCAAAGAATCTTCTTCCTGACACATCTTGCTCACCTACCCACTGTTCAGATTTGTTT